TACTGAAATACTGCCAAAAGTATTTGAAAATACAGTATTTTAATCAGAGTATTTCAGATAGGCACAAGTCTGAATCAAAGACAGAAAGCTCGCACTCAAAGCGGAACATCTACCGAGTCCTTGGCCTGCCACCGACTATAAGTCATAACACATGGAGGAACGTGCAGCGTTGCAGTACTGTAGAAACTAAACAACAACGTAATTTCAGGGTTTCATGTCTAGTACTAGTAAGAGGCTTGGGCGAAATCACTTCGGTTTAGAGACACTTTCCGCTGAGCAAGCTCTGGTGTACAAAGGTCATCCAGATTATCTGTTTTCGTATTTTAAGATCCACTCTTTCTTGTTGAAGGGATACTGAATCAAAATTTAAAATATACCTCTCAAGCCCAGATATAAGTTGAACCACCGCCTCCTCTATACTCACAAAGCCTGGCAGTTCGACGACGGAGCCGTAGAGCGCCCGCTCGCAGATTTGGAGCGCGAGGATCTGGTAGTAGAGACCCTTTCTCGTGGAAGCCTGCAGTGAGCGCACAGATTTTGCAGCGGCGAGCACGCGCGAAGAACCCGAGGAGCACGAGCGGACATTCCATGGCGCGGGAGAAGTGTGTTTTGGCCTCTCGCCGCAGCGGGGCGCCCGTTACTTGACTCTCCTCTCATCCGTTGTCTGCCGCTCTACCTTTTCACTTTCGGCGGCCGCGTCTCACGGCGATCTGCCAGGCTTTGTCAGTATAGAGGAGGCTATAATTGAACATAATCAACTCCATCTGCTGATGACAATCGCACGCACGCTTGCATCTAAAACGGGTGGCTTTACTTTTTGTTCTAACTGTTCGACTCTGGCGAGCGCTTCAAATTCAGCCATGGAGGAGCGCGGTACGTTTCGGAAATTCGTCGCGCCCGCAACGATGCCCGCGACGTCATCAGCCTCCCTAGGGTCGAGCGTACGGTACTTATGAGCGTTGACGCTCGGGGGCGTCAACGCGTTACTACTTCGCTTAGTCAGACTACCCGAGGGCTGTGACACGTCACCGGGGGATGGCGGAGCCGGCGGAGTAGCGGAGTCGTGCACGCTATGACAACACCAGGGTCGACCGCCTCACCAAGAGCGAGCTGTTCCGGTGTGCGCTTTTGGAGAACACACTCGGAGGAACTGCTGGGTTCCACCGATTTTCCTCTTCGGTAAATTCATACTCTGCAGCACACCGGGGTTCCTCACGTAGTCATCACCCCGAAGTGCTCGCCGCACAAGCGATCACCTTCTACAGGAGGCCAGATGGGAAAAGACAGGCGCGTGAGATTTCCGGCAGTCTCACGATTCACTAGTGTGTTTCCATAGCCTTCTGCGACACAGTGTTTCGGCTTTTTGCCCTAGACTCGTCAAGAACCCCTCCCCCCCCCCCCCCCCCCCCCCCACTTCTCTCGAAAACTGTTTCGAAGGTAACGTTACCGAGACTGATACACCCACAACAAGCGGAACGGCGAAACAACAAGACTGATGAGACCAAAATGATAGATGGATGCTAAAGGCTGTCGCAAAGTAGTGCATCGTCTACTCCGCGGCATGACCGATATGGCAACATCGGCAACGTCGGTTGCGGGGGCGAGCTCCCTGCTTTTTGAAGCGGACGATATCGTCGCGAGATGGCTAAGAAACCTCTGTTATCTCGCACGAGGCTCAAACATTTCCTGCCTCATGTTATCGAGGCAGGACGACGAGGTAATTTCTGCTTACCTGATTTACCATCCGGCCGATCACAACGACCAGACTCGGCGAGGGCGCAGCTTCACGAAAAACTAAATATCGCATTGAAGGCGGCATTAGAGTAGGCATTCTTCATTTATTAAAGCGAGCCGGGAAGCAGGCCGAGTCTGTCGAGGCAGCAGGGCGGGGGTATCACTCGAGTATTTCACGCAGCCTATCGCATCGAGAGTATTGTCACGCTACCGCGAAGAAACAATTACATCCCGACGATTTTGCGACATTCCTTGTCTAAGGGGCGAACATTAATCGAAAGAAGGGAAGGCATCGGTTTAGAGGGAGCTTTCGCTGGTCTCGACGGGCGAGGCTTGCGCCACTGTCCAAGCGGGCGCACAAAGCACAAAGAACACGACTGTATATAATTCTTATATTATCACATAAAAACTACCAGAAAAATACACTCACACTGCCACGACACTTAGGACGTCGACTGCGACTAAGTTGGACGGCGAGGCGATTGCTGAATTCCCGCATGGTAGCATAAAAAGTACCGCGCACAAAGGCGGATACTGCCACAGCTCTTCAACGTAAACTCGGGTCCTTTCGAGAGGTCGGCATCCCTCAGCGAAAACGACTTTAAAAGCAGCGCGCGCCATGTTGAAATAGATAGTTCATCAAGCCCGGATGTCAGTGATGTCAAAAAATGAGCGGAAGAGATTGGCTGGCGGAGTGAGTCCAGGATGGTCAACTGTGTTTTGGCTTTCTTCACAAAACCTTCGTTATTACGTTCTGGCCTAATTAGCGTTTCCCATATAGTGGCGCTGTCGTCGGCAGGCCGATGCCACCAGGACATTTAATCCAAGCTTCATAATAAAAAAAATCATGTTCTTTTTTTCATTGTCGTTTAATTGAGTTTAAAATGCGGTTTCTCGCGTTGCTCATAAAAATATTAATGTGTATGAGGTTCTACCGCTACTTACGTCCTGTTGAATAAAAAAAAGAATGAGCTCCAGAATTTTGTTTTCCTTAACCGTTTAAGTGTCAAGGATTCACGCGGGGAAAGTATAATGATACGTTACGAAGGAATGTTTCTCCCCACAGTATGGTGATCGAACTCACTCGAGGATAATCGGCCTCTTTACTTTTCCAAAGTCGAGCCCGGCACGCTATAGATCACTTCCGCATACTTCGGGATTTGCGCGCGGGATGCGCGCAGGCACTCGCCAACGGCATATAGCGCACACGCAGCCATTCCCTATATGCGTTTGTGCGCACATCAGCTTACAAACGCGATGACGCAAAACCTTCTCGGAGTGTGTAGGCAGAAGACAAACAAAAAGGAGCATCGCGACGACGAAAGCTCTTTATCAGCTACATATCCACCTAATTCTTTACGATTCGATAGTTGATTTCGTTCCGAGGTTCGTTTATTTTTAGGCGGGGTTCACACCGCTCATACCATAATACAAAGAACAGTCTGCCAACACGAGTCACCGCAATATCCGTGGTTCGAATGCCGCCTGCCAAGTTTTCTCCTTCAACTCATTGTCGTGCGGCATTTGAAGCAGGGACCTAGCGGTGACTCGTGTTCGATTCTGTATGCAGACTGTCTTTTGTATGATGATGTATAGGCGGCGCGACCCTGGCTTTATAAAGTCACTATATACTGACCGCTTGATAAGCGCAGAGCGTGGTGAGTTCTGAGCTTCTCATTTATCGCTCGGCAGCCAATCAGAGTCCGGCACAAGCTAATGAGGACACCTGAGAACCAATCATGACGCAAGAATCTCGAACAAAATTAGCCGTGCCCGGTGTTTCCTACCACAGTCCCACTACCCGTACATGATACAAGGGACACGGTATTCAATGTGACCTTCGTACAAGAAACGCCTTCGATTTGACCTTTTATACACGGAACGCCGGAAACAGTGTCGGCAAACTGTCTTTTGTATGACGTAGTAGCGGTGCGATCGCGGCTTTCAGTTGACTATAAACAGTGATTAGCAAACAACAGTGCGAAACGTTTATCCTCTAAACCTTCGACCCCAAGCGTTTACAAAAGAAAAGAAATAAAAAGTGGTACGATAATTTGATGACATAAATTGGGTATATTTATAAAGTAGCGGGAGAAGGGAGCCGAGGGAAATAGAATACGAGATAAGAAATAAACAACCCTATTTCAAGGTGGTCTTAAGTAGAAATATTTCCGAAGTCTGGAGTTACTCGAGAGTCGAAACTCAGACGAGTATACCTTGCCCGACGATCCGGATACACGGACTCCCTGTGGGTCGAACGAAGACGAGATTGCGACCTTTTTAGTTCTATTCGCTAGACAACATTTGACGAAAAAAAGAAAAAAACGATTGCCATCAAAAAGGTTTTATTAAATAAAAAAAAAACATATATCAAGATTAAAGTGAGGCACGTCGAAATCTGCGATGTGATAATTCTTTTTTTAAAGTATGTTTTAAGAGTTGGAGGAAATTTATGGCACGCGCGCGTATACGCCGCTTTCTTTAGTTACCCTGCCAATTTTAGTGTTACCCTTCACACAGGTATTGGCTTGCGCGCCTGAAAGATGCGCCTTCTTTGTTTCCTTACATATGTGCCGATTTCTCGAAAACGCATCGTTTGTTCGCCGTGATATTCTATTCTCTTATTGGAGCAAAAATATTTCAATAACAAGTGATGATAAATTTTCGTTATGTACCGCGGCGTTTGTAGGGTGTATTGGTATTGAGCGTTCGTTTCGCGGAAGTAAATCTATGACATTACGGTTGTAGGATAAATAAAAGAAAGGAAGATAAGTATGAGGCGTCTCGATTAAGAAACACGCGAGATTACGTCAAACAGGATGGAAATCCGCATTATATATACACACACACACACACACACACATATATATATATATATATATATATATATATATATATATATATATATATATATATATATATATATATATATGTATATAGGTGAAGTAAGGTAAATATAAGAAACAATGGACCGGGAAAAGTTAATAAGTCAAAGATGCGTACTGTCGGAGTTACTACTTCGAAATTTATTACGACGTTTCGAGCGGGGACCACTCTTCATCAGATGAAGCAAACAGGTGCACACAGGGCCTGGCTAACTTCCCACTGTGTAAACGTACCCACAACACAATATTAGATCACTGGCAAGAATGCTTTTAAGCTTAAATATCTTGGAAGTGTTGCTACACTTAAGCCTAGCTTTGTCAGTGGCTCTAGAATCAACTAGATCGAAAGAGGGCAAAGACAAGCGGGCTGGGTCGACTTACTTCTTCGAGAGCGTTCTGCGACAAGTCCAGGGACTCCAGCTTCTCTTCGACTCCCCGGAAAGCATCCAAGTGGATCTCGGACACGTTGCTGTGATGCACCAACAGATGGAGGATTTCCAGACGGTCCAGCAGCCGGGGGGGAAAGCGGTCCAGTCTGCACGAGTCCCAATACTGCAGTGGGTGACAACTTTTAGAACACAGTAGAAGGTCCGCTTCAAACACGCGCTCGTTGCCTTCCAACATGCTTTGCCTGCGCGTGCGACGAAGCGTTATTGGAGTCAGAAAGCTCGCGCTGGAGGCGGAGCATCTACTGCATTCTTAACCTGTCACCCATCATAGGCTGAGCAGGCACCAAAAGTACACTGTCTATTATTATTGTCTTATTCTGAGACTACAACTGAAAGCTCGGCGAGCAGGCGTGGTAATTGGTTACTCATGTAGAGCGAGCGAGACAAAGGTTAGCGAAAGTTTTATGTTTAGAAGTCCCATTCAAATTCCAAACCAACTGAAATATAGTGGATTGAAAGGTCCCGATTTCGTAGGAGAACCTTACAAATCAGTATCCGGCTAGTACAATTATTTTGGGGTCTGCCTATTTATGTCATCTTTAGCTTCGCGTGGAAAAATCTTCCTTACCTCAGTTTATTAGCTTTCTCATGCCAATTAAGATTTGTATAACGAACACAATACTCGAGAGAAAAAAAAGAACTTCGAAGTGATGCGTGACCTCGCTGTTCTAGCACCACAAACACCAATTTTTGTCCTTAAAAAAAATTAAAAGAAAAGGCAGTCCGGCAACTCTAACAATCTATTAGTAACTAACGTTAAGAACCACCGTTTTTCTACTCTTCAGGCGTACAAAAAGGTCGGTAGAAGATCTGTGACCCGTATTTCCTGCTTGTCTTTTCAGTGAGACGCAAAAAAAATTCTCAGCTCTGAGCCCATTATTCATTAGCGACGGACATTCAAAAACCGCCGAACGTGAACCATTTCTTTGTTGTCCTGTGCCGCGATCATTTTTAAGAAACTTTCTACGGTGACAAACCTTTCCTCCTTGTCTGTACTTAGCTCGTACGTGCTCGGTTGTACATCTTCGGCAGTATGAACGCGGTAATAGGGATCACAAATTGCTGTGGCGAACCTGCTATTTTATTCGAAGCCAGTGTTGTAGGCGTTACCGAAAAAAGTAACGAAATACGTTACTCGTTAAGGCCCGTTCACACTCTTGCGACCGAGTACCACTGAGAGAGACGAGATCTCTTACAACTTCTTAAATGTTTCTAGAATGAGGGAACACACTGACATTGTCGCGCCATCTATGCGGTGACCCTAGAACTGCATTTCACAAAAGCGAAGGTTTTGCGGGATTTCCGAGGTCAAATGTGCGTAATACCCATAGAAAGGCTCGTTTATAACATTGACAAAAGTTTTTCGAGCCAAAAAAGAAAGGATATTGCGCGAGAAATAAAAAAAAATATGCCGGACCGCCGAGTTTACACTGCTTCCCAATAGATGGCGCCAGTGTGTTCTCTGGTTTAAGAAGTTTTAAGGAACCCAGGTTTAAGAGGTCGCAAGCAGTCGCAAGAGTGTGAACGGGCCTTTACTTGCAGGTAAAAATAACACGTTACCGTACTACGTAACCCCAAAATAAAAGGAACGTGCGTGTTACCGTTACCGATAAAAAGTAACACACGTTACTTTAGCGTTACTTTTTTAATAATGAATTAACCCGTTTTACTGTTTTACTGTTACAGGTAGGCATACGCGCCATATTCTAGTTTTCGCTTTCTTATCGGAGCGCATCTTTGCGCCCGCGGTCCTGCCCCCCGGTGGTCGCGGCGCGAAGCCACCCCCTCGCCTCCCTCGTAGCATGGAGGGGAGTAGGGCGCAGGTCTGTTGCGCGTCTTAGCAACTGGGGAGCAGGACCGCGGGCGCAGAGATGCGCTCCGGTAAGAAATTGAAACCTACAAACCCGTTCAAATTGAGCGTTTTTAGAGAACGCCGTAATATACTGCCCCTGCGTTATATCCTTCTAAAAAGAGTTGATTTAGGGGTTTTCGGTGCCGCTGAGCAAGTTTCTGATTGGAACAATATGTCTATTTTCATTACTTAAAAAGTTGAGTAACGAATTTTAATTAATTAGCCGACTGGTCGTTACGAATAGCCCCGTATGCTATATCCCCCTGACCGGATAGCTCACCTGCACAAACCGCATTAGAGTAGCTTTCACGGCTTCTTTTTTAAAAAAATCTGTTAAGTTAAAAAAAAGAAACGCCCAGTATATATTTTGTGGGGGTATGCGAGAGAGGACGATGAAGATACATAGGGGGCCCCATAATGCAACGCGCGCAGTGTTGCATATGGGAAGTCACAGACCTACGCACCCATTCAGTTTCTCCGCTAAATTTATCGGGGAAGTTGAATCGGTGTATAGGTCTGTAACGTCCCATAATGTAACACTGCTCCTGTTGCATTATGGGATGTCACAGACCTACAGAGCAATTTAGTCTCTCTGCTAAATTTAGCGTGGAATTAAATTGGTGTATACGCCTCGCAAGTGGGCTCATTTTCGTCTTCTGCGCATGGGAAAGGAAGTAGCGGTGTCGTCAGAACGCCGAGCCCTGATTGGCTGATCGCGACTCCCTATCTCAGCGTCGTCTGCTCCTTTGCAACGTCGTCTGCTCGCAACATCGTCTGCGTCTGTCTTACCTTTCCTGCGACTTTCGGAAGAGCAGGTCTTTACGAGCGAGCTCGACTTCGCTTTTCAGAGAGGGCAGACCGAATAACTCGAGCGGTACGTTGTTTTTGTCTAACAGCAAGCAGACACGCACCAAGGAGGGACGTCAAAGGACTTACAGGCGAGGTGTCCCGAGGCGCCGAGGTTTGTGTACTAAGAACCGAGAGTGAGCGTGTTAGTGTCCGCAAGTTCCCTCCCAAATACATTTTTCCTCCTTTAGTGTGCGGCGAGACCCCTGACTCTTTAACGGCGTCGGCGGGTTGGCACAGTTAACGTCGTCTGCTTTACGTCTGCTAGTCAAAGCGATGGCTGCTTTACCTTTCCTGCGTCTGTCGGAGATTCACCGCTTTTTCACCGGCGAGAGTCACCGTTGCCTCGGGAAACAAGGAGATAACAAGAGGAAGAAATTGACCTCTTGATCTAAAATTGAGGTGCGATCAAAGTATAATACGGGAAGGGTTCACAAGGGTCGCGCGGGCATGTTCCATTCAGCACGCCAGCCGGTCGTGGGCAGACGGTCGCCGAGTCGCGGATTGCCTGCCTAACCGCTCATTCACACTGGAAGCGGATCCGCGTTCGCAAAGCGGTTGCGAACGCGGTTGTATAAAGATCCAGTACAATTGCACGCGCACTTGATGTCATCGAGTGCGCGTGCAATTGTACTGGGTCTTTATACAACCGCGTTCGCAACCGCTTTGCGAACGCGGATCCGCTTCCAGTGTGAATGAGCGGTAACTGCCGATCTCGCTTGGTCGCGCTCGGCGGAATCGTGGCCTTTGGAGCTTTTTTCGGGTGCTTGTGGATCCAGCGTTCTTGCTCGTGGTGGTCTGTTTCAAGTACTTTTTACGTTTTTCTTGCCGCTTGAAGTCAGGACGCGTGAGAAGCGCACGTAGAAAAATAAACGTGCGTGGGTCGTCGCGACCGCGACGCTGTCGGCCATGTTGATTTGATCGTAAGAAATGCGTAAGACAGCTTCGAAGCTGTCGTAGGATTTCGTCGTAACCTGCGCAAAACTTACGGAAATTTCGTTTCGTGAATACGAATTTGTTCTTAAGTTTTGTCTTACGCACATTTTTGGCGTAAGGTCGTATCATGAATCTGGCCTCTGCACTTCCGCAAGTCGCAGGGAAGGTAAGACAGACGCAGACGACGTTGCGAGCAGACGACGTTGCAAAGGAGCAGACGACGCTCAGATAGGGGGTCGTGATCAGCCAATCAGGGCTCGGCGTTCTGACGTCACCGCTACCCCCCTGCGCAAGAAGCAGACGAACTTGCCCTCCGCATGGGTTTGTGAAGTCCCATAGTGCAAGGTGCGCAGTGTTGCATTATGGGACTCTTAGGCTCCCGTTCCCGCATATAGCGGCCACGCCGATGCCGCTATATGCGGGAGCGGAGCCGAAGAGCTGCGCTCTAAAAAAAGCGTTTATTTTAATTGCATTCGTGCGTATAAAAACGCACGATCCCAATATGTTTGTTGTGTTTATAGGAGTTACCGTATTGTCTCTACTCGTTTGCCTTCGTAGTTTGTTGCTTACAACAGTCCCACTACGAATATGTTCAAGTGTCAGCATGTCTCCGTACTGCGCCCTTTACGCCGCACTGTAAACTCATGCAAATAGGTTGTCTCTCAGCGACAAATGTCTTTTATTCGGGCTTCTCGGCATCGGCTGTTTATTTTTGATCGCTCTATAAGGGCTAGCCAATTTCGATATTTACAAGCTTTATTAATGTTCGCTTCAGCGAACCAGTCACTCCATGAAAGTATTCAGCTCTCGTCTCTGTCATGCTTCGCTGTGAAAGCGTATGTAGGCCCATTTTATTTACCTACATTATATCCAGCATGTTTTCACAAAGCGAGCAGCGGTGTAGAAGTAAGCCAAATCTAGGGTGAATAAATATGTCGCAGCTTAAGCGACATCGCGAGGATCGCGATGTCGTAATTCTCGCGATGAGCGTTAGCGAATGTGACGACACGGACCTTAAATGTACGAGTTAATCTTATTAAGTAACACCCGAGTCATATATGAAAATAAAAAGATAGTTTAAGGTCGAAGAAAAACATAGTTTCTTATTTTTTCTCCCACAGTGTCGGGTTCTACAAAATGTAATTAACTATTACCCGCTTACCTGCACACTTTCTGTCTTTTCGTTAATGTATAAGTCGTTCTTTCCTGACGTGAGTTATCGCTTCTTCCATATGAGATCTGCGTTTCCAAGTGCGAGGGTAGCTTAACACAACGAACGAAATTATTTTTGCTATGCAATTCTACACCAGCGCACTGCGATTCATGCAAACTGAGCAGTATTTCCGTCCAACCGTTGCTCACACCAGACCCTCCCCCCCCCCCCCCCCCCCCTCCCCCCGGCCGGCTTATGCTGGAGCTTTTCACATCAGGGAAACAAACAAAAAAAAGCAAACACTTCTGGCAGACATACCGGATTTAGTTTCTGAACCAAATTTCTCACAATTGAACGTCACTATAGCTGGCAAAAAAGAAAAAAAAACTTTTTGTGCAAGGGTCATTGAGTCACTGCCATCACCCTCTTGTATAGTCGCTCGCCAAGCGTCAGTTGTCTGTTGCTGCAATGGAATCATAGATACACGTGGCACGCAAATAGCGCAGCAGAGGCCGACCGGTCACCTGTCGTGCCTGAGCCTGAGGTAGAGCACGGTTTGCTGGGCGTCCGCGAGACCCGACAGGGCGGTGCGCACGCGATCCGTCCTGTCCACTCTTTCGCAAGTCACGTCAAGCCCCTTGGACCTCTCCAGGCAGAGGCACGGGGAAACATGGGCCCGAGGCGGGCAGGAGAAGGCCCGAGGCATCCACTGGCCGGCGCCGAAGCCCGGCAGTAGCACCAGCAGGGCCAGGAACAGGACCGGGAGGGCCGGAGGCGCCGGTTTGGCCGCTGGTGCCGGTCCGCCCCGGCCCTGGAACCAGCAGCAGCATTGCCGGCGCACCGACCACCCCGGGTGCATCGGGGCGCCGGGATTCCTCGGGGAGTCCCTGGGCAAGGAAGAACGGAACCGGCGTTCAACCCAACGTTTGTTCAACCCGATGTTTGGTTCGCAAACTAAACGTTCAACCCAACGTTTGGTCAAACACTCGAACCCAATGTTTGGTCAAACACTAGGTTATAGTACGGTGCCAGGAACGTGTCTCTGACTGGTGTGTTCTCCGCGTCCGAAAAAGTGGTTCCTCGATTTCCGCCTTGTGACGTCATATAAGTGTCACGCTGTTGCCGGCCGCGATCCTAGCGGCGATCACGGCAGCGGTGGTGGATGTGGCAGACGCCTGTTCCGCTGCACGTCGCTCTCCAGCTTGACAGGCCAGGAAGTCTTAGCAGCCGGGATTTGGGACGCTGCGACGACAGCGACACTCACGTTCGCTCGTGCTTTTTGCCGAAGCTTCTATACGGCCAACCACCAGGATCGCGACACCCCCAGCATGACACTCCGGGGTTCGTGACGTCAGTTGGTGCCACTTCGCACTACCTTTGATGTATGGGCTGGAGAGGGCGATCGACACACCAGTCGGTAAGAAACGCAGGGCGAAGCGAGTTCCGAGAACCTTGTTTTTATGACTCCGCCGTCAATGTTATTGAGCAGTGATGCCAAACTATTGAAAAAATTGCTACCAATACTATTGATAGTTTTTTTTTCAGAACTATCAGTAGTGGACTATCGAATGTATTATCGATAGTGCAATAGATAGTACTATCGATAGTTGACTTTTGGTCGACTATCGATACTATCAAATGTCAGCTTTCAAAAAACTATCGAGTGATACGAAAAGGAAAGAGCTACCCAAAAACAAAATGACCGCGGATATGTTCGAGCAGAGAACGCGAGGTTCTGGGAAATGGATGAAATAGAAGGGAAACAAAAAATAAAGCTTCATTCTCATACAATGAATTTAGAATTAAAACAGAAATGGCGTTTTGCTAGCTTTTCAGCGGATATATTTTGTGTATTCATAAGGTTCAGATATCAGGCTTCCCACTACAATCTGCCGGATGTGTAAGACAATACAAAGTATATTCAGTATATTTTTTTTTTGCCTTTGAGCTACGAAAAAAACCTCACTGAAAACATTTAGCGTCAGGATTTTCACGAGGTTTTTTTTTTACGCTTGTCTCCTTTATTATTCGATTGTCCCATATTTTTCATAGCCTTTACCACTGACCGCTGAAATGAAGCACTCTGCTGGGGATCATACATTGTTTTTAACGTGAAACGTTTATGGTTAGGTTTTCAGGTAAAATGAAGCCTTAAAAAGCGTAACAGCGAATTTCCCCGCTAAAGTTAGCGGGGATAGTGACGTCACATGGATTTATGTGAAGTGACCGGTACACAAAATCAGTTTCGCCGCTAAATTTGGAGGTAAAATTCGCGGTTACGCGGTTACGGTCACGTGACATGGTCACGTTAATATACGCCAAGTCAATTTCCCCGAAAGATTGAGCGGGAAACCAACGTCACATATGACTTCGTATCACGCAACCGATAACAAATTCTGTTTCCCCGCTTGCTTTAGAAAAAATTGACGTCACATTACCTACACCTCGTGTGCCTCACACCAAAATGCTCGGCGTCCCCCTTGACGACAAAGTGGACTTCCAGCGCCACATCTGCATGCAAAGTAGCCTCCAAAGCCAGGCGCACACTAAGCTTCGTAACCCCCCTGTCACGCGACCTTCCACCAGAGGCATTCAGAAATCTACACATTTCCCTCGTCTCACGCCAGCTGGAGTTTTGCTGTGCGATATAGGGGCCACACCAGCAGTCACGCCCATATGCCCTAGCAAACATTCAAAGAAGCATTTACGCTCTACCGCCACAGCACCCTCAGAAGCAGCCTCCTCAGTTATCGGAACCTTAGCACCGACTCCCTCCTCCGCAACGATGATTCGCGGACGCTACGGCATCGTAGAGACGTCGCCTCCATCGGGCTGTTCTGTCATGTTATGAGTGCGGACGGCATGGACTGCCCCAACACACCGAGTCTCAACAGGCGTACTGGCCCTCTGCAACCGGTGCTGACGCGCACTCTCCGCCACAGGAGAACATGCCTCCAACGAGCCGCTGAGCTCTGGTTTGCGCTACCCTCTGAGCTGACCCCAGTGATCCCTAACAACAGGGACTCCTTAAAAGAACTCTGCGAGTTGATATCCAGGGAGGATGGCTGGCACCTGTGACCCGACTCCTGCTGGCTGGGGGCGCCTTAGTGCTGTTAGTTTTTTCGTCGCTGGGTGTCGGCCGGCGCGGGCAGCGGATCGGATGCGAGTGCTGTCTCGTTGTTAAGCTGGGACTCGTGTCCAGCCGGCGAGGAGACGCGGTACTCGCGTCCGGTCTATGCTGGCGCCGACCGATATTCGGTGGTGGGTGGCTGTCGGTGCTAGGGCGTTCTTGTCTGGCGGATGTTGCTGTGACACGCTTTCCAGATCAGCGCCCCCTCCCCCCCCCCCCCCCTTCTTTTTCTCTCTTGCTTGAGGTATTTATTATATTGAATTTACCAAATGCCTCCCAGTGGGTGGCTAGGGCACACAGTGTGCATGGGCTCCCTGTCTTTCCTTGTCGCCTGCACGCCTGGAGTGAATTCACTGGAGTGCAATAAAAAGACAATATAACTATTGATCTACACATAAATTCAGTTTACCAACTACCCGCCATTCCCCATACTCTGTGGACACGGACTATCCCGACGAGGAAAGTCAATGCGTCAATGAATCAATGGGGTGGAAAGTAGTGGAGAGGCCTGGAGGCAGAGCTCGAGAAGAAATGCCTGAGGGTCTCTAAACCAAGAACGTTTCACGTAGTAACACAACTGCGGGGCGAGTTACTCTGCAATTTGCCTTCTTTGCCTTTTGCTGATGATCATTCATAGCGAATTCTCGAAAATCGTTGACAAAAGCAATTAGACTTGTATGCTGTGATGAGTTGCCACTTTTTGTTTGGTGTTATTTTGGCAGATTATGATAACGGTTGCTGAAAAAAGATTTACTTGTTGCTATAAAATAAAACTTCAAAATACAGGGTGATCCACGTCAGTTGATGCAATGATGGTCCGGGTCATAATTCAGATCTTTTTGTTAAAAATATATATGAAAGCCATGCTCTCGGAAGGAACATTCAGCTATATATGAACGCCGTAACGTTTTTTCCCGCTAAGATATAAAATAGAGAAGCTCGAGACGTGAAATTGAGATTTCGCGATGCTATTTTTGCACAGTCGTCATTTCCTCATCGAAGCTTTCACGTCATCATAACTTTTTTAATTCATTTTACAAAGTATATACAACACTTACACAAAAATTTAGAAATATCAATATAATTTTCTATGCACACAAAAAAATATCAAACATGGCATAAAAACGGGTTTTAAAGACCTATTCACAATTTTTTTTCGCAACTAAACCATCTTCTATAATACTTCACAAAATATATCAAAATGCGCGTCTTTAAAAAGTCTACGAATATGTAAAAATTATATTCTCACCCTTACTTGTCTTTTCGTTATTAACGCGGAAATGCACCTAATTTTTCCGAATACCATCTTTTATCATATTTATTGAAGTTCGATGGTAGAACCAGCAAATGTGTTCTTTTTTAAATTCAACAAGGAGATCTAAAAACTAAATTTTACTCTCTTTTGGAGTCTCATAAGTGAACATAAGGCCTTGACCAAGCTCACGGAATACGTTTAGTACGTAATCTAGTGTTCTTTCGAAATCGGAGTCTTCAACAAAGACCAAAAATCTATACCCCTAAAGATCTTAATGGTGTGATTTTCCAATTTTCGAAGAGTTTTAAAGAATCAAAGAGTCTGCTGAATTACCAGTCAGCATATTCGAAACTCGTAAAAAGCTGTATAGTATATTCCTGTTTAAAATCCGCTTTAACAATATCATGTGTTCGCACAATTTGCGTTAGCTTCACTTCCCAGATTCGAAGGATTAGGGAATCAAGATTCCCAGACTCTATTATTTCATCAGCATGCAAAAGTTTAATAAAAATCGTAAAGATTAGTTCCAATTACAATATGAAAGAACCAGCTAGAAAAGAAAAAAAAAAAACACACGAAAATTTCGGTTATTCCTTATCTTCACCGCACTTCACACGGACTTAAAAAAGTCGCGTCCAGATATGAGGTGAATGTTGTCTTCTCAGCCAAAAACAAACTAAGTAGATTATGTTCCGCTGCACGCGTACGCAATGACGGAAACAAAATCAGAATATTACATATGTGAGGTAAAGCATGGGAAAAAGTTTGTGTCGTGCGTAAAAGGCGCGGTTTAGTGCATTCCCTTCTCTTGTGGGCGCTCTTGTATTGGGCAGACTGGCCGGTACTTAAACACCGGCCTCAGAGAGCACCACGGCTCCTTGAAAGGCACCGCGTATTCACATCTAGCGGTACACTGCCGAGATTGCGGGTGCGAACCACGCTTAGAAGACACCATTATACTCTATCAACACCATGACCATGCAAACATGTTGAGAGATGGTTGAAGCGTACAACATCACGAAAAACAACAGTTCGTGTGTGAGCCAACCTTCTGTGACTCTAACTCCCAGCGAAGTGAACTTTCTGGATTTAGGATAAGAGCTCCTGAGGAAAGAAAGAAGAAAACAAGTGCTACAATCATATGAAAAAAAAGGGGCATACTCCACGAGGCGCCCAGCAAGCGCGCGAACATTTGATCCATGTTTTCATTTCATTGTATTTCTTCCTTATGTTCTATTAACAGACCACTTTGTAGTCAGCGCTTGCCTTGTATTCTCTTCGTCTTTTGTCCTCGTCCCAGTCGCGCTGTTTTTCAACATGAACTTCTACCAACTTGCCCAGTTATCTATCCTTACCAAGTAAACGTATTGTTGGCAATGAGACAATATTTCAATGGAAAAAGCTTACGAATTTCAAAAGCAACCTTGTTTTTTTTTCCTTTCTCGCAATTACTTTGGTTCAAAAGGAAAACAAA